TGAGCTGCAGTGATGGTGTGCACTGCGGTCAGGAGTCCCTCCACGATGCCCAAGTTGTCATGGATGACCTGGGCCAGGGGACACACCGGTTGGTGGTGCAGGAGGCGTTGCTGACCATCTTCAGGGAGTTGTCATACTTCTCGCGCCGTGGTTCATGCCCATCGCAAACATGGGGCTTTGGTAGAAGGGGCAGAGATGATCCCCCTGTGGGCACCATCCTTCAGGTGAGCCCCAGCTGCTCTAGGGTGGGAAGACGCCAGTGGACTCTGATCTACTCGACTCCAGCCTCACCCACCTGATGGGGTCTCGCCCCTGGGAGATGGAGATGGACTTCCCTGGATGATGAGCATCCCATTCTCAGCCTGGGCAGGCCACTGAACGTGCCGGGTGGAATCGCACTGGCACATGTCGACCATGTAGTTCAGGTCAACGAAAGGGTCATTGGTGGCAGCAATGTCCTCTTTGTCAGAGTTGAAAGCGGCCCCGGTGACCAGGTGCCCATGAAGCCAAATCCGTTTACTCCGGCCTTCATTGTGTCTCCGGGATGCAGCTGGGACTGCCTGGGAAGATGTGGCTGCCTGTCGAACAAGGAGGAACAGAGACCCCCACATGGTCACTTTCTTCATGCACCTGTTGGGTGAGGGCAGGAGGTGCTGGGGAAAGAACATGACTGGTTTCCACAGAACGTATCATCCTGTTTATTGAATGCCAAAATCCTCAACCGCAGAGGTAACCTTTTGGTGAGTATTCACAGAAAAGGCAAACATCTGCGCTCTTTTGGCCCACGAGGACCATCAGCATGAGGCCATGAGGGTGTGCAAGGATCCACAGAAAATCAACCACTGCAGTAAGACCTGGAAACTAGAGGAGACTCACGAAATCATGATCAGCTGCTCCTCAGTTCATCACAGCTGCAGGTAGAACTACAGGCATGGGAAGGGGACCCTGATTGGGCTAGGGAACCATTACAGATAGAAAATCTTAACAGGATTGGTTCAGGGCTCCCTGACCGAGACCGGCAGGGTATAACTCATGACTATGTACCCCAGTACCCCAATTTCCATCAAGACCCGGAAGCCCAGGCTACCCCGTTCCTGGGCTGGCTAGGAAAGAGGTAGTAATCCCTTGTCAAACACACTCTGCCTGTGAGGAAATAAAGCTTTTCACATTTCAGGTCAGGGATCACAAAGAACTGGAGGCTGAACGTGTGGTGACTCAAAAATGGATTCGAGGCTCCCACTGTAAATTATAACCTGCAACCCTCAACCCAGACTGCCTGTCATCGAGTCATTGCAACTCAAAAGTGACCTGTCGGAGTGGAGGAGTGCGTTAGACAGGGTTCTCTGGAGAGACAAAACCAGATTGCTAGTAATGTTATATATACTTATAAAGATAGATATATAACTCAGGAAATGAACAGTTAAATTATATACAGATAGATAGATAATACAAGAAATGAA